ACATACATATATCCCCAAAAAGCTCCTCTCGTCTTCGTCCACTTCGGCTCCGAAGGCGCTGCTATCGGCGCTGTGGCATCGCAGGCTTGGCCGCAGGTCAACATGTGGGTCATCACAAGAAGGCCGCCGGAGGGGCGGAGGGCGTGCCAGTCAAATCTAAGTCTCATGACTTCTTGCCCGAGTGTTGTGTTATAGATGGTGATGTGTCGCCCCTTGTGCTAAACAGCTGCAGCGCGGGAACGAAACGGTCTGGGCTGATCACACTGACCTACCTGCAACAAAGGTGGACAGGATCCAGTACATAAAAAACTGATTCGAAATTTTCAGGTTTCATGTTATGCAATCACGGTGGTTGCCTTGACTCCTTCATATTATTCGTCGTGGGGTCCTGGGTCGCACTTAGCTTTGTTGAGTGCAAGCGTGTGCATGTGCGAGTCTATGTGTGTGCGCGCGCGCGCGTGTGTGTGTGTGTGTGTGTGTGTGTGTGTGGGCGTGAGTTCTTTCTCCACTTTGAGGGCGCAAATCCCTTCTACCCGCTGGTCTTGCCGACGGCGGAGCTCTCAGAGAATACTGTTGATTTCCGAAGACTTTTCGTCCATCTGAGAGCTCAGCAGGTACCGACTGTGTGTCCCAGGCTGAGTTTGCTTGAGTGCGGACTTGCACAGAGCATCTTTGTCTATACCCCTTTCCCTGTGCGCTCACAGATGGAACGGATATGTTTGCGGACTGCAGCGGAGAATTCGAACATAGGCAGGTGGAGGCTCGCTCCATCACGCTCATCCGCTAGCAGCTCCACTGCCCGTCACTGTCCTCCTCCGTCCGGTAAGCGAAGCTGAAAGCCAGAGCAGCAAACGGCTGCGCAAAGTGCAGAGCCTGAGGTTATGGCCACTGCTACCCGCTCCACAAAGTGTTCCAATACTTCTATGCTGGCACGGAGAAGATTCTATGCAGCATTGACGACTCCAAGGACTTCCCCGTCACCTCTTGCCTGTGCCAAACGGGTTGCGGCGGGAGCCTGGGAGGCAGTGGAAGCAGACCGTGCAACTTGGGGACTTGCACCCGGCCAGGGCCTCACATGTCTTTGGGGCATGATGCCTCTGTAGCCCATGATGGACAGAAGTGCGCTCGCGCTTGGCTGTTTCGCGTGAGAGTCTGAACTGACTCTTGAACACGGCAGCGCAGATTACAATGTGATACAATGTGCATGGAGGGCCCAGGATGACCAACCCATACATGCCCTGCTTGCTAGCATACCGGTAGCATTGTGTGCATGCGTGGTCTGCGTGCCTATCTTCTGGGTTTCGCAAATGCTGTGGGCCTCACTACTATCTTGCTTGGTCGTCGCGTGCCCGCCTCGCCTCTTTGCGCCTTGCCGCTGTGCCAGTCTGAGCTCCAAGTTTTCCAAGCGGAGGGGCGACGAGCCAGAAGGGTGGCAACTTAATTAGACACGAGCTTGTTCATGCACATTCCATTTCTCATGCGCTCATTGGTTTCTCGCGAGGGATGCCTGGCGAATGCCGTGCTCAATCGGTCGATCAGGTCCAGGTAGTGCGACCCTGGCCGACCATGCGCGGGCATGAAGTACTCGAGCCGACGTGCAGTCTCGCTTATCTTATGTATCCCTGCCCACCAGATATTGCTGGAATTGACAGGCGGCATTCTCCCTCAAGTGTTACCGAGGTGTTCGCTTTGCTAGCTCAAGTCCTGTCTCGAGCACTGCAGAGCGGCGTTTCAACTGTCGCATTGTAGATGCCCGAAAGGAAGAGCAGAGCTTTGTGTGAGTTGCTTGTGTTTCGGCCACAGTGTGTGCGTGCTCCCAGGCCAGGACAGATTGAACAACCAGTGCTGGTTTAAGGCACGGGCAGCCTGACTGAGATGGTGCCATCTTCAGACCTTGCATGGACGCGTCGGAGTGTGAGTGTCCTTTTGCCATGAAGCGGCTGCAGCCGTGCAGCTCAACAGATCCGTGTTGCATCCATGCCCTTCATTTCCAAGAAGATCAGGGAAGGCAGAAGACATGGGCGGAAGTTCTGACAGAGAAGAAAGGGGATGTAGAAAAGCAGTCGATGGACAGGTTGGAAAAGCTTGTAAAATGGCTGTCGGATGACGACTTCGACTCAACAACCAAAGGCATTGTCACTCCATTGGTTGGAAAGGTTCTGTGTTTGCGGTGCCATTCTTGACGAGGAGACGAACGTACGAACGCGATTCGAGGAGAAGGGAGATACTCTGCCCCAGAATTGGCAGAGAAGCTAGTGCAACACAAAAACTTCGGCCTCAACTTCAATGACAGGGCAGCCAATATCCAAGACTCGGAGCAGGGAGCGCAATTCGACCAAGATTTGATGAACCGCTCCTGAAAGGGGTCAACTTGCAGGTGGGGGTGAGTTTGCTTGGCTGAAGCTTCTGCAAGGCACAACTGGAACGAGCCAACCTGACACAAGCAGTACTCCAACCCGCCGACCGTGAGGCTGCACAACTCCAGGGAAGGAGCCGACCTCTCTTTGGCCTCGCAAGGGCTGACTCTCTCTGGGCACAGTTGAAATGTGCCATCCTCTGCGCCAACCTCGAAGTAGCCGACCTCCAATCGCCGAGCGCTAGGCTGCATGGAAAGCTGTTCTTGCTTTGCTGGGGGGACGGCGAGCCCGCAGATTCAGATGAAGAAGATGGAGCGGACGATGACTGGGACGCTAAAGTTAGGGGTGATGAAGTGACAAAGAAGGACCAGGAGGAACAAGCTGATGTTCGCGACCCTCTCCTTGGCTGCATGGATTGGTATGTGTCAAAGGGCCAGGAGGCGTTGGACGAGATCAAGGTGGAGTTGCGGGAGACTGCACGAGAGCTTCGGACGGAGTTGGCTGAGAAGGCCGAGGAGAAGGCGGCTGAGAGGTTGGATGACGCAGGGAACAAAGCGGAAGTGCAGTTGAAAGGATGTCTGCAGAATGTGGCTGTGGCCATGAAGCCGCAAGTCCGAGCACTGATGTCCGCGAAGAAGTTTAGGCAGGTCCACGCGACACGCGAGCTTGAAACCAAAGAGCCAAAATGACCTGCTCAGTGTCGTGGAATTTCTTGGCACAGAAATTGGTCACACAAAGGTAGGCAAGTTTGCCAAACAGATGAAGATTTTTGAGGACACTTTGCAGACATGTGAAGACAATGGACTGACGCCGTTTGTCACGAAGCTTGCAGACTCCCACCTGCGAGCTGCCACTGGCTACTCATCAGGTGAGATGTTCGCCTTCATCGTGCTTTCCACGCAGCAAGTGGCTTCGGATATGAATGAGCTGGAGGACATGTCCGCGTTCCTGGAGAAGTTGCAGGACACGGTCAGTGTCAATACTTGGGATGATATGATCGACAGCTTCGAATGCCTGTATGGCACCGTATGACCTTTAATGGCGACTAAAGGGTGAGCGCAGTCAAAAGATATTCGCCCAGGTTTGCAGGGGACAAGAAGCTACGACAATGTTTGGCAGTTGGGAAACTGTTTTAAGAGGTGTTCAGTGCCAAGGATCCCCCAGCACCACCGGCAGTTTTGGAACTGCGAAACCCGTCTTTCTAAGCTCAATGTCTGTGTATGTGCGCTCTTGAACAGGTGGCTGACGATCACGACCTCTCTCGAGATGACTCGCCAGTGACCCGAAATCGCTCGTACGCGAGTAGAAGTCTAAGCTGTGTGGCGACAGTGCATGGCACCGGTTCCGCTCAACCCCATTGGATCAACGCAATGTCGGCGAGACACTGCGTGCTCCCAGGCCGACGACGAAGCCGTCACCAGCCAAACAAATGCGCATGCTGCTAACGGCAGGAGGGGGTTTGCATTGCACGACATTGCACGATGGATGGGGCCGAGGAGAGCCGGTCGGGCTGACTGCTTGTGAGTTTCCGAAAAGTGACTTGCTGCAGGAGGTCCTGGAGCGCAACCAGGCAGCAGACAGGTTGATATGCTATACACGTACATGCGTACACAAATGCATACAGACAGACATGCATACAGGCACACTTGTGCAGGCGGTTATGCATCAAACGAGCATATACCAGAGAGAGAGAGAGAGAGCTTTGTGTTTCGTACGCTCTTGCTTAGCTTGCTTGGTTTTCTCAACTTGCAACTATATCTTAGTGTCCCTTCTACCGCTGATGGGGGAACCATAT